CGCCGGCCGGTGGTTGGGAACCCTAGCGGCGGCGACGATCTACGTGATGAGGGTTTACTTCGTGCAGGGATTCTATATCATATCGTACGGTCTCTCGATCTACGTGCTGAATCTCTTGATAGGGTTTCTGTCGCCGATGGTGGATCCGGAGATCGAGGCGCTGGATGGGGCGTCGCTGCCGATGAAGGGGTCCGATGAGTTCAAGCCCTTCATTCGCCGGCTCCCCGAGTTCAAGTTCTGGTAATTTCTCGATCTGGTTGTAGTGCATTGTGCTTGGATTAACTGCTATACTGATCATATAATACCGTGATGTCTAGTTTGTGTTGATTTGTGATAATTCATGATTTTTCCGTGGTCATGGTGCTAGAGATGTGTTTGATATTGGATGGCTTGGGTCAGTAGTTTCCGTTAAGCTTAAAGATTAATGTATCATATTCTACAAGATTAGTTCCCGAATAAGTTTTTATTGCTAGATGTTTTTTTTGTTTGTTTGTTAGTATTTACCACTATCAAGACTCATTTTTATGTGAAGGATATAGCTTTATCGACCAAACATTGGAGATTTTTAGGGAAAATCTATCACATTTCATTTGTACGATTGTTATTCCTTCTATTTTACATCAGTGTAGGGGTCACTATTTTTTTTTTAATTTTACATGATTCATTGTCAAGCATGGTTTAGCGTCATGGAAAAAAGGTACAGTTTCAGGAGATATCATCTGAGGGAATTTTCTGACTGAGTTGTTGAAGACATCGAACCAACATCATCTGTAGTGCTTTCGTCTGGTTCTCCATTAGTGAAGCAGCCTGCTTATGGTGAATCAAGGTTCGACCAGGAGTTTCATAATGCAGTTCTTGACTGATAGGTTTTAGGTCTTCATAGACTTCACATCTTTGCTGCAATGCTCTCAAACTCTGAAACGACTTGAACCAAATGTTCTTCAGGCTTGCTTTGTTATTTTGAATATGTGAATGTGGACTTCATTGTGTACGATACTCGTTAATAAGTTACCTCTAATTATTTTTTCTCTTTACGTCGTCATGCTCTTGTTAGTTATCTTAACTGTTTTGTTCAATTTTGATGTGCATCAATAGGGGCTAATGTGTAGCATTTTTTATGTGCTGCTTCATCAATTTAGATCCGTTATGCCTTCTCTCATTTTACTTGATTTATTTGTATTTAGATACTTGAGAACTTTTAGAGAGATGATTATCTCATATGATTTTTATTATGTTTCATATGGCCTCTTACGATACTTTTATTTTATATTACTATTCGTTACTCTTTACTTATGACAACAATGCTCATTTCATGGTTTCACTTATTGATTGAAAGTACTGCACATAGTTTGGGACTACTTTCCCCTTGTTTTCACTTGGATAGCTTATTTTGGGCAAGGTTTATTGATGTAGACGTCAAAAATGCTTACAGACATCCAAATATCACTCAAGACAAAGAGAAGGTGATAAACATCAGTATCTAAGTCATGGGAGATCGCAATACAAGCCAACAGGAAGCAAAAAGGATCTGTGAATCACAAAGTGATTCACAGAACATGCAAACTACAAGGTGGGCGCGGGACGCTTCATGGTTGCCACGGTCAGCGGCAGCTGATGACCAGCGGCTAAAGACGCGGCAGTCATAGTGCTCGCGGCTTGGGCGGGCCAATCCATGGTGCGCGGTACTATAGGGGATGCCGTACAGCGGTTACAGGTAGTTAGTGATCGATTAGTGGTGAAGTCTACTGGCGCGCTACCCGAATAAGAAACGTGTGCCTGACCGTGGACAAAGAGCAGTTAAACCACGAAAAAGGTGTTAAAAGTTCGTGGGAGGACACGTTTCAAGCACTGATGGAACTGTGTAACTGCCCTCCTGTGGCCGCTGAGGTTCATGCTGCCACGCGCCAAAGGCCCTGCAGTCCATGCTGCGGCGCGCCAATAGCCCGCTGCAGTCCGGCATGTCGGCGGTCAAAGGGATAGTCGTTGATCGGCTATTTTTCTAAGTTATTGTCGCAAGGAGGCTAAAATACCGCCCTATGGACATTTCATTGACAAGGGGCTGAGGCCATTTTCCATAGAGATTAGAGCAGAGATCCTTGAGGTATTTGGTGAATTAGAGCAAGAGAGAGAAGTCCTTCCTTCTTCACAACGACTCCTCAGAAGCTTCCTAGCGAGTCCTTAGAGATGCTAAGTCTCAGACTTGATCTTGAAGAGTGAACATCTTACATCGATAAGAATATTCGCTTCAAATTCTTAGCTTCGATAAACGAAGGAAGAATATTAAACCTCACGGGTTCCAATCAGAATCTGTGCATTCGGTGGTCCACAAGAGTCAAAGACGCTCCCGGCAAGGCAAAGATCCCCGCAACAGGGCACGCATCAAACACAACGGTCCGCGTTTGTTTCTCAGAGTTTGTCAATTGTTCCTTTTTGTTGTGTAAAAGAAGTCTTATAAAAGACTATTTCTTTTGAATTTATTGTAATCGACCGAAGATATAATGAATTCCATGACAAAACCAACTTTTGACGCAAACAATTGAAGGTTACATTTTGCCACCTTATTGATCGGTGAACTTATGCACTAGACTCCTATTTTGGAACTAATGCTTTGTGTCTAGAATAGATGACCTTTTTGGGTATCATATTCCCATTAGAAATTTGGGACAATGCTTTTCTTTTTACTCACTTCTATATACTTGTTTTTCCCCTTCTGGCTTTTCCCTCCTTTAACCTTGGCCGCTTGTTGGTTGAGGGTCTTTTTTTTGTTGTTGTCCTCTGTGTGTGTGGGGGGGGGGGGGGGGGGGGGAGGCACGGAATAATGGCAAAGTGATAAATAGTCTTTGCAAGATCACTTTGCTGGGTTGAAATATATTATATATATATATATATATATATAAGTTATATATATATATTATAATATATAACACACGCGCGCATGGCGGCGGACTGCCCTCATGCAAGTTTCTTGATTAAAAATTGGATCTGATGTTGGACTTGGAAGGTTTTTTTAAAGGATTCGTCTTCCGGTGGCAAACTTATGCTGATTTCCTATGATTTGTTGCCAGGTTCTGGTCCCAAGTTGTTTATCCAAATGAAAAGTAGGTGGATGACAAGTGGAAAATAGGTTACGGTTGGTGAAATGTAAATGAGAAAGACTAAGTAACCTGTTGTTGGATGAAATCTACAAATTTCTGTATTAAAAATTGACAAACTGAAGTGGAAATTTGTGTATATAAGAATTTCTATCAACTTTAATGAGATTAGTGGAACATGGTGTCTTTGTTGTTTTATGCTAGAGATTTGATAGACTATCTATTGTTTTCTTATTCTCTTTTTCTGTCTTGGGTTAGAAGGTTAAACCACACTTGGTGTCCCCCACTTACATGACTAGTACGCCCTTCTACCTGTGCTTCCTGGGTAATAACGGCGAAATTGTGCGTGGTCAAGAAACTGAAATGTCACTGTTTTAAAAAGCCTCCGCCTTGTCCGCCTACGCATATGCCTAGGTGGTACCTAGGCCGCCTAACTAACGCTTAGGCTGCCTACCTGGATTATAGAAGTGTTTAAGGGAGCATTGTCTGCTTACGTAGAATGCACTATTTAGGCCTTAATCGTGATTTTGTGTTGCAGATTCTACATCCTCCGACCGCTTACAAACTCATTTAACCTCCAAACATGAATACTACCACTACCTCCTCCGACCTTTAGCAAAACCTTCTCGACCACCACATAAATGAAAAAAGAAATCCGCCTAGACACTAGTCCGTCACCTAAGCTTTCTATAACAATAACATTTATTAATTACAATAACAATTATTGTAATTAAAAAATAAAAAAACCTCCTAGGCTTTAGGCGACAGGTCCAGACCTCCTAGCGTTTTCTATAACCTTGTTAGTTATTATCTTGGCTATTTAGCATTTAAATATGCATAGTTTATTGTGGATCTAAGATTGTTGTCTTTTTTTGACAAATTTATATGAATTTAATACATGTTTTTATCAATTATTATAATTAAATAATTTAAAAAAATACCTGAACGCCTAGGCATCGCCTAGGCGTACGCCTAGCATCTAGGCGCTAGCTCAAACGCTTAGTCCACCTAACGCTTTCTGTAATATTGTGAAATGTTATGATGCATATGCATTGTACCTTTACAATGCATTTATATCTATCTTACAGCTATTTTGCAATGGTCATTACTCCTGATTTAAATATTTGTAGAAGGTGGCCACTATAACATCCTCGTTTGGTTTTATATTGTACTGTAAGAAATGACAACCCCTATTTTACAAATTTAAAAGCTTGTTACTCAAGAAGTAATAGAAAAGAAAAACCAGCAAATATGAGAGCCTTTTGTGGGAGATCCACAAAAATATAGACCAATCGGTGCATCCCTTATCCTTTTTCTTGTGTTTCTTTTCAGGTACTCCATAACAAAAGCTTTCTGTGTGGCATTTCTGATGACCTTCTTCTCGATATTTGATGTTCCAGTATTCTGGCCCATACTTCTTTTCTACTGGATCGTTCTTTTTGTTCTGACCATGAAGCGCCAAATTCTACACATGATCAAGTACAAATATGTCCCCTTCAGCATTGGGAAGCAGGTTAGAGTTATCTGCACTCTTTAACTGAAACAGCTTCAAGATAGTTTACATGTGAAATCTGACCTACTTATCTATGCAGAGTGCAAGAGGTTAATATTCAATTTCAGCTTGTTTTTGTGTGATATGGATCTTATCCTGTAGAGTAGACAGTCACATATCTACATTTCGTGACAGAATCTTACAGTAACAAAGAACAATAATTTAAAGAAAGTAGCACTGTTAATTATAGTAAGAGCTGTTTTTACCAACATTTGCCTGCATTAATTAGTTTTTACCAATAGTTGAAATAGAGTTGTTCACAAATGAAATATAACAAAGATAAAGAATTAGTAACTATATGTTTCATGTTTATTTTCTTTCATTTGACCTGCTTCTTGCTTCTCATGGCTACTACAGAGATATGGCGGGAAGAAGGCTTCACCGTCAAGTTCCAGGGACTGATCACTAGCAGGAAGGAGAGAGAGGGGATCACGGAAGTTCGGGAGGAAACATTAGTTGATGTAGTGTGGATATCCTACTAATATGAAAATATTCATCAATTTTAATTTAGACATCGAAATGTATGTTGAAAGAAAAGTTCAGCTTATTTTGGTTGGTCGTGGGGAAGGTCTTGAAGATGAATTTAATACAACCGTGCAATTTCCATTTACTGGGCTGTCGTCTTTCTACTACTGAACTTGTTGCTGTACAATCTTCTAGAAATTGATGTTTCTGACATTAAGGAGAAAATGAACCATATCTGCTCTTTGTTTCGTCCGCTACTGTGCTTTAGATTTCGGATGGTGGTGATGTTAGTCTACGAGTTTTACAACTACACATTGTCAAAACCTGTGCACAAGCAAAATGTTTTGAACCATACACAGAGAACAGTTGTAATTTTGAACTTCCCCTCGTATACAGAATGTTCTGAATGTTCTGATATAGTAAATCAGTGGGGTTCAATACATTCAGTTCTTGGTTGTTGACCGCTTTGATTGATGCGCCTTGCGTCCAGGATAATAATGAGATTGTATTGAGGTTTTATTTGTCAAGCTCTGCTTTGTACTTCCACTTTCAGCAACCATGTTGAGCACATAAACGTGAGAACGTACCAACATCCATGATTGTGCGCCTGCAACTCTGAAAATCAATGTGAAACCAGTGCTTAAGTAGCAATGTAGCATTTGTATTTATCAATAATCACCTTCAGTACATAGAGAGTTCGTTGCCCTTCTGAGCAGTGGTCTTCAAGCACAACCTTGAGAAGAATATTACATATCTTAAACTTAATTCTTTAACCAAAAGTCTACGCAAATTCTTACAAACGCTTTATCAATTTATCTGTCAGATTATTCTCCAATTGACAACAGAATTGGCAGCAAAATGATTGCCATAAAGTCACCGGTAAGATGGTCCCCTGGCTCTAGACGAACTGTGGGGCTGAGCTGCTTTTCCTGTAGATGCTCATGAACTTTGCAACAAATTCTGCAATGAAAATGGAGTTATACCATTAAATGACAATTTGCTATCTTGCATGTTATATCAGAGCTGATTCCACTATAGCGTAAGATTTTAACGCATCAATTCTGAAACTTTCGATGATACCACAGGAAGCTTAATAACTAAGTCTAGGTTAATTTTACAATACCATTATTTCATAGTTCCTTGATCATTAACAATAAACTGCAATAATAAATACCAACACATCTAATCCCATGCTATTTCCTTCTTTTTTTCCTTCGAAATAAAGAGGAGAAATGAACTTGTGCGCAATCACAAGCGATATCCTGTTTCTTATATTCCTGAATCAAACTGCACAAGGCTGTATTGAATGTGTACAAACTAAAGAACAAATTATCAAAGATCATAACTACCTTCCAACTTCAGCAGGGCACCTATTCCAACAGGCAATCTCTTCTCCTGCCAGTGTTGATGTATTCAGTTTTACTCATATTTACATCTCTTATATATTGCAAAAAGTTACAAACATATGAAATCGAAGAAAGGATTTAACTCACGTAATATGCATGCCAATAATAAAGTTCACGTTTAATGCTAGCTTCAACTCGCTTGAGGAACTGTTCCACGAGTTTCTGTATTTGTTCAGAAAAAAGCTATTCAATTTGATTTTTTCCCCCAGCATCTTAACATCATATTTGCAACTAAAGGCGAGCAAGATTTACCTGGAGGATCAATTTGGGATGCACAAATTCCACCAAAAGCTTTTGGAACTTCCCACGTATGAAGAACAGACTGAAAAAATGATCTAGTGAGAGAAGAATGAAAGGATACAATTTACATTAATATAAATTTCACTTAAAATTAAATTCTCATAAAATAAGATAAATAAAAATAAAATGTAGTCATGAGAAAATTTAGAAAGAAAAGAAAAGAAAGAAACAAATTTCTGACATTCATTTAATTTTAACCCTTCTCTTGTTTCAACTAGCACAAGTCTTGCTTCTTTTTTCCCCTTCTCCCTCTTCTTTAATTTTGTTTATTTTCTTAATTTCTCATAGAATATACGGATATGAAGATTTTTCTTATATGGAGCTCAATATTCTCAACAAAGACGAAGTTAGAAACAGGCGGAATACATGCAGTGACCAGTTACCAATGAATATGAAGCATTAATGGTGGAAGAAAATGAGTTCAAAATTCATCTGTTCTAACAGTACAATAAGGAAAGCACATAAAATCATGCTACTATTGCTTATGAGGTTACAAAGTGTAAGACTAAATAGGCTTTGATCTATAGCACCAAATATGTTCTTGAATTTTGGATGCTTATTTGGTTAATTCAGATAGTTAAAAAAATGAAAAAAAAATAAACTTAGGTAACTTTGAGAATGCTTTAATATGACCTTTTTGTGGAAGGATCAGCAAGAATTTCTTCTGCAACTTCCACAACAACCTCCTCCCAACCCACTGGAATTGGTTGACTATCATTGAAAGGATAACTGCAAAAATATCATGTGGATCAGAAGCAATAAAATATATTAGAAAAAAGAAAAAAAAAATCACATTGCTGGAGTCGAGCTCTTTATACTTGTGTGCTCTGCATGCTTCAAGAGCCATAATTGCTCTTCGTAAATTGTGCTTTGACTTGGAAGCGATTCTAGCAGCAAAACTCGTAGAAAGCTCCAAGTTTTCCTTCTTGGCAATATCAATCAGGACCTCCATGATCTGTCAAAAGAAAAGAGAAATAAGAACCAATGGTAGGTGTATTTTTTGACACATGCTAAACTGGTAAAAGGAGTCAATTTGGAATTATTAAGATTTCAGGTGTAAAATATGAATATTTAATGCTTTAGGAATTGACTGTAAGAGATCAAACAAGTTTCTCATCAGCGCAATAATTTCTAGATAACTTAAAATAACTCACACTAAATAGCCACATGCAATAATATGCATCATTAGAGATTTTGCCATGTTAGCTTCATTCTTGGGCATTGACATGGTTAATTAATTTTCTTTCAAAATTGGGCACAACAGGCGTTGCTTTATTTCAGAATAATAATGATATAATATCAGTAAACTTTGATAATCTCGCATACTGAGATGACGAAGGAAATTCTCTTAGGGGGTGTTTGTTTCAAATCCTATAATTTTAGGATATGGATTTCACCATGGGATTTGAAATCCATAGGTGTTTTGTTATGGGTTAAGATTTCTAAAATGTTGTTTGTTTCATTAATATTTTGGGATTTGGAATACTACAATTTGTAATATTTTGTTTGTTTCAAGCTCAAATTGTAGCATTACCAAATGGCAAAATTTTTTAACATGATGAATATGCTATCTTGGTGAGCTTACCTCCCATAAAAAGACAAATTTGAGATTTGTCAAATCCTCTCCAATTGAGAGGTAAGCATACCAATTTATGGGATTTGTCAAAATCCTCTCCAATTGAGAGGATTGGAGAGGATTTGACAAATTCTAAAAATTGGGCACTTTTTGCACTTTTGGGATTCAATATTCTAAAAATTTTCTTAAAACAAACACCATATATGGAATCCCAAAATACAAAAAAACTCACTTTTTGATCCCAAAACTTGTAATTCATACCAAATGCCAAAATTTTTGGTGAAACAAACACCCCCTTACCTCATTTGTAACAGGGGGATCCACAGAGATAAATTTGCAGCGAGTCTTCACAGAGTTGAGGATAGAAGCATCATCTTCACAACAAAGAATGATTTTGCATGCTTCTGTATAACGGTCCATTATCCACTTTATCAGGTGCTGAACACTGTCAGCAACTTTATCAACTTCATGGAGAATGACCACTGGGGCAATAAAAGAATAAAATTAAGTAGTGTAATCAGGATTTTTGGAAGAAATATCAAGGTTCAATAGTAAGAGACCTTTATAGTCCGCCTTTAAACTGACATCACTCACTTCAGGGGCCAGCGCATGATCACTTGTTATTTCCTTAACTAAAGCCATCAAAGCATATCGAGCATTCTTTGATTCAGACTTCAAGTTAAGCTCCACATGATGAGGACTCGAAGTTACTGGAACTGAAATTTGCATAGGCGTAGTTTCCTATCAAAGTCAACACATAGATAGTTTAATAACAAATATAAAGTTTCCACCTAAGAAACTAGAGGTACGTAAACAATGCCAGGACAGTATATTGAATATGCAGTTAAATATATATCCAAGAATCTTTTTCGTACCTGAACCTGGAAGTGTCTCAGATCATCAGATGTCTGTAAGATTGGCAGAAAATAAGTCAGGTTTATTTTATAGAAAATGGACATGTGTGGTGAAAGAACTAATTCTTTTAACCCGTACTTTCAAGGAATCACCAAAAATTTCATGCAGCAATGCCGTGATTAATGATTTCTTTCCAGAGCCTGAAAGTCCCTTGAACAGAATATGCGGAAAATTGTCATGGGATATCTGCAAAAGTTAAACAAATAAGGAATCAATAATGAAGCTCGCCTTAATATTTATGTTCTGGAGATAAGTAGCTTTTGATTTTTTTAATGGACAATAGTCACAGAAAAGGAAGCAACTGAGCTTCTGCAATAAAGACTTAGTTGATTAAGAAGGATTCAAGAAGCAACTCTAATGCATCATATAAGATTTGATGTGATGCGCTTAATAGAACTGTAAAAACCTGGCTTTAAAGATCTATGTGTTTTAAATGCTTGATTTCAGTATGCACCAGAGATTATATACATAGTATTGAGGGAATTGTGAGTAAATAACTGAAAAATGAACTTAATGCAGAGTAATCGAAATAATGGTCCAATCACCAAACATAAAATCAGTGAAGGTAAACTTTCTCTTTGTTCCTTTGTCCAACTCAACAGTTGCTAACCGAAAAAGGTATACATTTACAGCGAGAGAGGATGAGATCAATCTACATGATCACAGGTTGAGGCAAATTTCTACGTAAATCATTACAAGAAGCCAATCTCAGATAAGCTGGTTTTAAAGTCTTCTTCATAAGATGGCATCTCAAAGGAAGTAGAAAAGCAGAAACAACAATCTACACATCAGTGTGTGAGTGGATGGCTGTGCAGTGTGCACAAGCAAGCAAGAGGACAGAAGGAAGCGCTCAAATTGTGCAAAGTGAAAAAAAGGAATTATAAAAATATAGCAGCCCTATAAAAGACAAGATAATCAGAAGTTACAAGTACCAAAGTTGATTGTATCTGAAATCAAGATCTTGTAGAAGAATTTTTTTTAATCAAAATCATCAAAATTTCCAGGTTTGGACAAAAGCTATTTAAATGCGAGAATTTCCATCAACTCGCATAATTGAAAGAGTCTAACAGATTCAAAACCAAGCCTCCAAGTAAACAAAAATGTATAAAAATGGCTAGTAATCCTTACCAATTCTTTGAGATATTTAGCTTGTTGTTTGTGACAAATAAATTTACTCAATGAGAGTGGCCTGTGCTTCACAGCCCAAGATGGTCTGAGTTCTTCCACAACAAGTGCCCTTTCAATAAAAGATGCCTCATCAACTTCTCTAGAGTCCAGTGACTTCGACTTAGCACATGATCCACCCCTTCTCACACAAGACAACCATGTATCAGCTTGGCTTCTTTGTCTGATAGCAGTGATCTTTTTCAAACTTCCACTTAGTTTTCCACTGCTCTCACTTAACTTGCTGCCGAAAGTTCGATCAAAAGCAGAGCTTGAACTTGTATTTGCTTGTGAAAGAACAGTGCTCATTGAAACAACTTGACGATTCTGATTAAAACTTCCTCTACCTCTATTAAACTGATGGACTACATTTTTACTTTCTGGAAATGTACTATACCGTTGAGCAGATTTGTTTCCTTTATTTGCAGATCCTTTGTGGAGATTTGTACAATCACGAGAAACGAAGATATCACCAAGTGAAACAGACTCTGTATCTTGATTTAATATATCACCAGCTGAGGGAGGTTTAGACAGCTTCATATTAGCAATTTTAACATTTATGTCTTCATCTGTATAATTTCCATAAGAACCACCATTCTCTTCATGGATTATAGTCTTAGCTAGTGGTGATGGCCTCCGCTCTGCACCAGAATTAACCTGACCTTCCCTTTCTTTTGTTCTCAGTTTTGGCACAGACATCGACCTACTTTGATGTAAGTTGGACCTTTCACTAGCTCGAGAAAGTTCTTGAAATTTTTTCCGAGAACTTTCCTTCATATTAGGACCTACTTGAGGTTGTGTATGAGTTCCTTTATCTTCAGAGCGTTGACGTCTAGAAGGTGTTCTGTGGTCTTTCTTCCGGGATGAGCCATCAAGATCATCATTTTTATGATACAACTCCTCTCTTCTACTCATATATGGAGAAATATGCTTACTTCCATGCTCTGAAGCCTTAAAAGGACTTGTATCACAATTCAATGAACCCTTAAATGGACTGGGATTGCGATGCTCTGACACCTTAAAAGGGCTGGTATTCCTCCTTAGACCCGGATGGCCAATATAAGCAGCAGCATCTTCACCTTGTGTGATTGACTTATAAGGAGATTTGCTGCGCCTTCTGTCCGAAGGACTTCTTCTTGAAGTCCTATTTGCAGAGTTGTCTTTGTCCTCCTTTGAAGTAGGCCTCTGGCTACGATTTGAGGGAGCAGTAGCTCTGGTAGGATCAGGAGTTTGAGACCTGTTTGAGATTGGGTTATCAATTCTGGCAGGATTAGGAGTCTTCGACCTATTTGAAACCAATAATCCATCATGCCAGGGGCTCTCCTGCCATTCGGTTTCGGTGTCAGATGGCTCGTAGCCACTTCTCTTATGTCTAGATGAAGGGCGAATTAAAGAAGATCCATTAGGTCTTGAGGGATTACCCATTGCAGGAGCCATCTTAGTCCTGCAACAGAACAGTTTGAGGAGCTAAAAACTTATAGAAAACTATTTCATGTAATAAATGCATAATAGCTTTACACACAACTAAGGCCTTGATTTTAACAATAGATTTTTTATTTTTTATTTTTTTGGCTGGCAAAGGCTTCTAGTGAATTTAACAGCATATATATTTTCCTATATGTTGAATGGATAGTTGTGTTGGTTGAGGCTCATTACTCAGGATGGACCAAAATGCAGTCACTTACTCAATCTCAGGTCAGCTGAATGCATGCCCTTTATTCACGACTCCATGGTTTGATTAAGAAGCTTCCATTTTGATTGCAACATATCTGAAAATAGAGGCATTATAAAATAAAAAATAATATCACGATTGATGGAAACGGGAAGTAATTTTTTATGATCCGTTGACTTCTGATCTTTTTTCCATCGTATTTCGATTACTTCAGGACAATCAAAGGAACAAGCATACATATAACATAGCAAATAAGACACACCTAGCATAGTAATCTTGAATCATCAAAGAAAATCACCGCTGGCATATATATATCTACCCCGAGATGTGCATTAATTCAATAAAACTTCTTAAAATGGAGAGCCAACACACTTAGATAAAACTTAAGGGGTTATCACAGGGTCAATGCACGGTGTCTTGGCATTTGTGATTAAGTATTGAGCAAATTCGTATTGATGATGCCCGTGCACACAATCTATTTACCAAATGGGACGATTTCTTCCAACAATCAATACCGGTTATGAAGTAGACTGGCTACAATTGATACCAAATTAAATCTAACGTATTAATATGAAAAATTAGCTTCAGAGCAAGTAGAATACAATTATACGATCTAGTCTAGCTTTGTCAAAGATCATGCCTTTACACCTGATTCAGCTCAAAATCACTAAATTCTACTGTACACAAACATTTACCTACAAACAGTTCATTTTATCCCCAGAAGATTGTACCAAAACTAGAAATTGAAGCCTCAAATCAAGGTCAGAATTTTAAATCTAAAATACCTCAAAGACCAAGAAATCAGCCAAAATCGCTCGCTTTTCTCCGGAATCGATCGAGGCCTAAGGTTTTGTCGAAGCATCTCGAACCGAGGACGAAGAGGGATTTAACGAGGGCTGGCATCGTTAGAGACGATAAAAAAGTTGTCTTTTTTCGAAGAGATTCTCTGGACGACGAAACCCTAGTTTCTGTCTCCTCTCTCTCTCTCTCTCTCCTCCCCCCTCGCTCTCTGAATTATCGTCGAATTTGATTCTCAACGAACTCCACTGCTCTAGAGACATTTGAGAGGGAAAGACAACGGTTCGGATTCGGGTAGGATCCTACATGATCCGAATATTCACTGTAGCATATTTAGGAATTTCTCCCTTAATTTCAAAAACTCAGAAACAACACCCTTAAGTTAGGCGTTATCAGAAACCCCTTTTAGCTTTAGTATTTTACCAAAAACAGCCCTAACGGAATTATCTGCAATTTTCACTTGCAAAAATACCGTCCTGTAAAAGTTTTGGTTTTATGATACTTATCCTATTAGGAAGATTTTCTGATAAAATCTTAAACATAAAGTATTTTTGAAAAATGATTCTTCTGATAACCCCTAACTTAAGGGGGGTTTCTGATATTTTTTTTCCAGTCATGAGAGGTTATCTGAAAATCATCCAAAGTAACAGAAGTTTTCTGATATTTAACCCAAAACCTATTTTCTCCTTAGAGTATGGGGATTTGGGATTTGATGATTCATAAATTTAATTTTAAATTTTTAGGCAAGCTAAATGCATTATGAACGCTGATACGAGAAATTCTGTATTTAGATAACTCTTGAATCATATGACATATGTATTTTATAGTTTTAAAAAATTCACCTTCTTTCTAATCCATAAGGTATCATATTTATTTTCTCTCAACTAATCGATCAGTAATTATATTTGATCTTGAGGAATATGAACATGAATTTATGTTACCAATTAGCTGCATCAGTCTTCGCATATGTATTTGCTATTAGTAAACGGATACACATACATTAGGTCCATTTTCGCCTCACCTATGGCCCTTATTTTTTTCTCCTATTTTATTAGTAATCAAAACAAGAATATTTTATATAACTTTCACCTATACAGGTGTTATTTGAGTTTTAGAAATATTTAAATTTTAAAGTAAGATCTAATAAATATATTTTTCGTTCCCTAGCATATCAATTTTCCTTGGATGATGCAAGAAAAAAAAGAAGGTCGTTGTCATTTTTGATACATTGTCCTTGATTGTGACAAGCCAAGTATGCTTACACTTTACAGTTTGGATACAGCCTACCTACAGACTTCTTTTGTCCTCAATTTGAATGTCCTTCAATTAATTCTTATGTTTTTATCTCCTTGGATGATGCAAGGACTCTTTGTTACCGGGGAGGCGCTACAGTCACACCCCCTAACCGCACCTCCAACCACACCCATCTCTCGCTACAGTGCACTGGGGCCCATATGAGAATTTTAAAAAAAATCTCATGTGAGTCCCAGTGCACTGTAGCAAGAGAGGAGTGTGGGTGGGGGTGTGACTCTAACATTTACTACTATCTAGCATTTTAAATAATTTTTGCTTTGCTAGCCTGATGGGTATTTGGTCAAGTGCATGGTGGCTTATGCAAAATTAAAAATAAAATGCATAGGGATGTTAGATTTTTCATACAACTTTGTGGAGTGCATATAAACCAAAGCTGCCTTATTAATTGGTATCCCCTATTGCCATAAAATAATGGATAAATTCTAGGAGAGGTCTTAGCTAGTCAAAACTGGGACATGTTTGATGAAATCCTAGGACACATCACAGCAATCCAATACGTTTCTCCCATCTCGTATTTTAATCAAGAATTGTTGGTTTAAATACTAGTCATCCATCCGTGCATTGCACTCTTTCACATATATTATATACAAAAAAGAATTAGAATTGCCCATAATATAATGGACAACTGTGATGATTCCTTAATCATCATTAGTTAGGTTTAACATTCTAGGTAAGCTCTATATATCTTGAAGAAAATTCTTCCCCTAGTTTACAAGGTTAGTTACACTAAAAGCTCATTGTTGTGATGTGAACTTTGGTAGCCACTAAATACGTTATTTAGCTTAGTCTAATGCCAAGACATAGGTACTATTTACTCATTTGAGCAACTAGATAAACTCATATATATTCTCACACACCATCAATGTGGGACTATACTGTTTTCGAATATCACAACTCCATCTTAAGTACCTGATCTCATAGGCGATGTGAATTTTAGAGATGGCTCCTATTGCATATGCATGCTGTAAGAATATTGATTTCAGTGCTCTAACATATACGTTAACGCGCTTTAACACTTAGTTCCACTACTCTTCCCTCTAGTTAACTGTTGATATGTATACTACTTGTCAGGCTCCCCTCCTGCGAGTTCGTCATCGCTATGTAAGCACTGACTTAGTAAGTGCAACATATTATTTGCCTCAATGTACATAGCACAAAAAATGTTAGTACTCAACTCCCTTAACCAACTGCATCCATACAAGTCGAAGCGATGTTCGAGGAACTTTAAAATTAATGACTAGAAAGTTTAAATCCAGATGTTCATCACATCGCCATAATTATCATCATTAAATCTCATTTTGACATCAACAAAATGAAGTCATTATTCAATCTTAACTGACATCAAGAAAATAACATCCACCAACATACATAGATTATATATAACACGCAAATTCATGAAGTTATTCTTCAAACAAGACGGCTAATGTATTCTTCAACCGTTGTATACTTAACATCAGGATAGAGCTCAGAAGCTTCAACACCAAATGATGGATCAATCTTTATATTTGTGGTATCTCCCTTAACAAAAATTGAGTAATTGATTGCCATCACAATATTGATCGGAAATGGAGCTTCTGTTATCCAAAAAAGATAAAAAAAGTTAATTAAATATGATTCAGAAAACTGAAATTAATTTTAATAATTAGAAAGTTCTAACGTGGTATACTGATCACCTTGAGTCTTCTTCAAAACCTCCTCTTCAGTAAGATAAACCTTCTCAAAGCTTTTGCCAGTCCTTTTCTCCCACAAAGATATAAGCTCATTATGAGTGTAAACGTTGCCCGGAGGTCTAATGTACAAAATCTTATTTAATGTCCTCGGATCATCAACAGCTCTAATGGTGTACGTGCCGATATCTTCCTCATTCACGAAAGTTGCTATAAATGTCAAAAATAACTAATGTCATTTAGTATTAGGTTTAATATGTAGCTATTGTTCTATTCTTTAGAAATTAGTTAAGAGTAAACAGAAACTCTGAGCTTCAGTGTAGATTGTAAAGTTCTGTAATAGTCGGATGACATGCCATCGACATGATACACATTTAAGCATATACACTCTAGACCATCAAGACATCCAAATCTTTATAGCTTTATATTATTTATAACATGTCCCCGCAGGTCGAGCGTCTTTTTTTAATTTATGGGCCGAAACCTGAACTTACGCAGCGATGTTAATTTTTAGAAAATCCGCTTTTAGTTCGTGGCCTGTGGGATTTGAACCCGAGTTGCTCTGATACAATCTTAAATTTATCTCCTCTAACCATTACACCAAAACTCCGAAGTTACGGTGAGGATCAAGGATAATAGCTTTATATTATTTCTAACACATGTTAGCAAAAGAATCCCTGCTACTTGATCATATATGCGTGTGGAGGTGATTTACCTTTGACATTGCCATCACCAAAGATGGTGAGTTTGTCTTGAGGAGGACCAAAGGAGTCCGTTTGCGCTAGAGTAGGGAGAGAGTACCCTGCAAAGTAGTTGGAGGATACAAAGGTGTAGGGTATTCCCTCAGCCTCAACTGCTCTTCTAATTTGAACCTTGGGTGCAAATGCTGATGTTGCTGGCTCGACAGTATGGGCTCTATCCACGTCAAGTCCAAACTCTGAAGGCAAGAATCTCTGCATGTCCCGTATTTATAAGTTCATAATGCCGTAAAACATATTAAGATATTTATTTCTAATTTTTCTAGGCACTTATAGACGCAAATAGACGCAGCACACCTAATGCTTAAGTAAAGTTGTTATATGTATCTCATATCCGGTGTCATGTCATGTCAGTGTGCATCCGTGATATTTCAGTGTGCTATAGAAAGAGCCCCCGGTTATCTTAGACCATCTCCGACCCATTGCATCAAAATAGTGCAAATTTTACATCAAAATGGTGCAAAAGTCACATCTAACAGTAATTCATCTCCAACTCACTGCAGCATTTTTTTGCACCAAAAAAGAATATTCTCAGTATATTCCTTTTTATCTACTTTTATATTATTATTTTCTATTCCCTATATTTTTAACTATTTCAACAATTAACCCCACATATCAAATTTTATTTTTTTCATATATTCCTTTTTATCTACTTTTAATTATAATGTCTAGATTTTAATATTATAATTAATAATAATGTCTTTTAAATTTTAACATTATTTTTATAATTAAAAAATAATTTATTTTGTCCAAATTATACAATTGGAGTAAAATTATAAAATTTAAATATTATTGGGGTTATTTTATAAATTTAAATAAAACATGAACAATAATGAAACGATGAACAGTGCGACTCCATATTTCGTGCAGCACTGTTAAAATGCACCAAAATGACGCGGGAAATGAGACAGAGTTGGAGAAGGAACAGTGCCAAAAAATGCACTGTTTGCACCATTTTGGTGCTGGGTTGGAGATGCCCTTAGAATTTCATTTGGACATCATATCATAGGGTCAGTTTGACCAGGTTTTGAGGCCAAAAAGTGAACTAAAAAAAGCTAGGCCAACGTTGGCGCAATGGTTACCAAACAAAAAACAAGATGAAATCGGGCCACGTTTAAACCTGGCCCAATTTGAGTGAGTTAATTACCAAACAGCCCCATAAGATGTACACTAACCTTGACATTTCCAGCTTCTTTAATGGCAGAAATGATTTTAGTCTGGTCAGCTATCTGCATAGCTCCAACCGTTGATATCACCACATCCACTTGCTTTATTGCCTTCACCAAGCTCTCATGATCATACAAGTCCCCCTACATCATATATTTACAAATAACACAATAAATTAACTGCCAAAATATTAACTCATTAATCAAAAAGGGTAGATTTTTCATAAAACTGTCATAAAATTGTTTCACTGAGTTATCATGCATGATGATGACTATCTAGTTATCACACGTAAAACCACAATTTCATCCTTATGTGCTTTATACATATTCTATATTATCCTTATAAGCTGACAAATGGGAGAGAATTATTCTCAATAGTTCTCAAATTTATTTCTAATATGAAAATCATAATCTATACCGTACTCCGGTGAAAATCAATTTTTAATCGTTCATAATATTTTTTTCCGGAAAGTTCATCATAAATTCTTTAAAAAAAAATCTTTTAATCACCTTAACAACTGTGACACCAGAGTTCGTAAATTCTTCTAGAAGTTTTGCCTTTGTAGGGTCTGAGGGAGCAGTGTCCCTCACCAGGGCGACGGTAGGGTGGCCGGATTTTGCGCTTGCACTGACGATGAACTTGCCAATGTATCCGGTGCCGCCGATGATCAAGATCCTGCTCGCCATTGATGAAGATGAAATGTATATATTATGCAAATAGCTCGGTGTAGTAGTGGAAAACAATGCTAAGGTTGCTAGGTATTTATGGGGTTATTTTTGGGTATCTGGTCACATCCCGGTCAGTGTAAACTTTAGGTACGAGAGTGATCAATGATTTCTTTTCATTGTTGCGTTTGGACGAATTCTTTGATTTTCTTTTCTTTATTTTTTTCTTTTTTTTTTTTTGGGGGGGGGGGGGGGGGGCTGGCGGTTCTTTTTCCTTTTCTGATATTAGTATCTAATATATTCATATCGTAAAATTAATCGCTCAAGTTATTAAAATTTCTATGAAGTCCCTCAGTCTTCAATTATTCAGAACTTAGTCCCTCAATTTTTAAGGTATATTCCTTAGTCTTTAGCAACTTTATTAGAAACTTATGATAATTGGTGGACCAAATAGTAATTCAAGTGATTGAGGGGTAATGAAAAGGAAAAATTTGCAAAATAGCCCGTTTTTACTAATTATTTAGCAACATAGACCGTTTTGCTAAATAATTAGCAAAATAGACCTCTTTTTGGCCAACAGGCCAAAAAGAGGTCTATTTTGCAAAACAGCTCAGAAAACATACGGGACTAGTAGTCCCGTATGTTTTAATCGCGGATTAGTGAACTCAGAAAATTTCACAAAACATTAAGATGGACTCAGAAAACATGCGGGACTACTAGTCCCGTATGTTTTCTGAGTCACTAATCCGTGATTAAGTTGGCTCTAAACATACGGGACTAGTAGTCCCGTATGTTTTCTGAGTCTTGTTTTTCAAAACCGACCTCTTTTTTTTCAAAAGAGGTCTATTTTGCTAATTATTTAACAAAACGGTCTATTTTGCTAAATAATTAGCAAAAACAGACTATTTTACAAATTTTTACTAATGAAAATATTAAAGACGAAAGGGAGTACTGTTGAAAAAACCTTTAAGATTTTAATTTCTCAAGGGAGTTGGAAAAGTTGCTTCCTCTTTGTTAGGTCAGTGGTCTTTTCGGTTACCTGGTAAAAACTTGACAGGTAGCTGATAAGTGGGACCCGCAGCAATCCCGTGGTGTGCGCGTCATGAGCGGGAGAGTGCGAATTCCGCTACCACTAAACGGGGGAGGCCAACGATGTGAGGTCCTAACGCCGCATGATGATTAAAGGAGGAGGATTGTAGAATTACCAAGTCTATATAATTTATATTGAGACACAAATCTAATGCATAAATTTTAAAGCTGGTAATTGCACTGATACAAATATTAATAACTAAACCGAGGCAATAGTCTAAATGAACAAAATAGTAGTTATATTGATAGCGAGACGCGAGTCATCATCACCTTCTTCGTCTATGATTTTGTGTGGGATATTCTCCATAAAAAAAATAAAGTTATGGCTGGACAATATGAAGTATAACTGCATATACATAATTATTATAAGGGGGGTTAGTCACCTAGTACTTAAAATTAAAATTGAGATAATCTGTGGGATAAATTTTTAAGGTGTTAGTCAAATAGAATTAAAACTTGAAGAAATTTTACAGTGTTAGTCAAGTAGAACTCTAACAAAAGAATTAGGATAATGGTACAAAATTATCCCATTTTTTTTTATTTTTTTATACAAAAATAAAAGTTCTAGTCTCTCAAATTATTCCATGTTTTAGCTTGGAACTAGGTGGTAAAAAACTAGAACTCGTATTTATTTTGTTATTTTTTATTTTTTATATTTCTTTTTTTTCTTTATGTCTTTCCTATTATGGTTATCATCATTATAATAATAATTGTCAATATCTTATAGTCTAACCAAAAGTTGTTTAATAGTAAAGATCATTCTTGTAAGCAATTATCAATCAATAATAGTAAGTTTAAAATACATAAATAGTATTTATATCTTCAAAATACATAAATATATATTTCATGATTATAAAAAAATTATCCCACGTTATTTTATCAAAATATCCCGCTTCACAAAATTGTTCCTATTTATCCCACTATAATACCCCCACTAGCAAAAAATTATTTTACTTTAACAATTATCCCATTTTGCATTAAAACGTTCCAATTAACTAACACCCCCTAAGTTGATTTATCTAAAAAAAACTTATTATCATTGGATTTTATATGGCTCTTACGGTCTCTTATCTTTAAAATTTTATCTCAGTGTAGATTCGAAGCAAGCTAATTTCCAGATTGCTTTCCCCACTATTTAGTGAATTAGAGGTGTCAATGAATATTTCGGAACTAAATATCCAAACTATAGGGATGAATTTGGACATGATGCCGGTCCGATTAAGACTGATGTATTACCTTGGATAATGCTTAGACATACATTTCGCTTCTTCATTAGCATGGGGATGAACGTGGACAACATGCCGGTCCAATTAAGACTGAATGTATCATCTTGGATTTTGATGACGTATACATTAGCCTTCTTCTATGGTTGGAGTCTAAAATTCTTGGCGGAGTCTAAAACTATAGGAACTCGTTAAAAGCGACCAACGAAAAGTCAACATCAATCCGGCCAGGCTTCTGGGAGCTTCTTGTGGACTTCGATGATGATGACGACAACTATTATTACTAGCATTATCGCACGGACATGTGCACGTGTAAGAGGAGCAACTTTTTAAAAATAAATAAATTCCATATCTCAAAATGCATTAGAGATTCGATAATAATTATAATGTGATGATATCTTAAGCCTAAGGAAAGTTTAAAGATAAGGTTTTTACCATCTATTAATATTGTTTGCATATGTTTCTTTTGTTGCAGAATAAAAATGCACGTTCCTAATGCACGGAGTGGCGGATCTACAATATTTTTTGTGGTGGTTCAAAATATACACTAAATTTTTTTCTCAAATAATAGCAGGTGAGAAAAAAAATGAAGGAAGGGTTATTAAAGAGAAAAACAATCATTTTTAAACAATGATTTGACTTATATATATAAGAAACAAAAATATTTATAGAAGGCCTTAAAGAGGTAGACAGAACAAAGGGATAAAATGAAAGGAAAAGAAAAAGAAGAAGAATAATAATAATAATAGAGGGGAGGTAAAAGGAAAGAAGCCTAAAAGAGAAATTTTCGAAGGCTGGATGGTTTGAACTCCAGACCTCTTACAAAATGTTACCAACTGCAATACCACTAGGCTATAGAGAACTTTTGTATGAGGTGGTTCAAGTGAACCACTTTGAACAAGGGTGGGTCCGCCACTGAATGCACGCAACTTATAATTTCCCAAAAAAAATATTTAATTTATACTTTTATATTCTTTGGCTTTTCTTTTGCTATACTTTTTTTTTTGCTAAAACGATCTCATAATTTTAATTTATATTTTTAGAATCTAAAATATAATGGATATGTAACTATATGGGCTCATATCCTATGTGCATGGAATATGGTATAGAACATTCTAGAAAACCAAAAAGGGAGAAAGAGGAAAAAAAAAGACAAGATGTTTGTATCGTATATGAAATATTCTAGAAAATACAAAAGAGAGAAAGGAAAAAAGAAAGAAAGAAATATGCCTCATGTTAAATTACCTTTTTGCCCTTCTACGTATAGTAGAAAATGACAGTATGTCAACCACTCATCAAAATTTTGGATTAACCTCACTTGCTTTTTCATATAGTAGCATAGATTACTAACGAAATTGCGCGTGCATAATGCGCATGATGTTTTTTTTGGGTAAGAATGTGGTTTAAAGAAAACTAACACAATATATTTACAAAAAATAAGTAATATTAAGGAACTTATTTAAGAAATGAAAAATATATTTTGCTGGAGCAATAGAATATAGATCAACTTTAGAACAAAATTATTTCCATAAATTTCTTGATTTATTTATTGATTAAGTATTAACTTGTTATATGTTTTTTTACTTATTCTAGTAAGTGAATTTTTTTAATATATTTTTGCTACTATGGTTTTGTGTTTTTATTTTCTATTTGTTGTATCCTTTTGAATGTAAAAATATTTTCTCGTGTCAATTTAATATAAACCTTCGACAATTGATCTTGACAATTACGACTATTGTTTATTTTTCTAATTCAAGATTTTACAATAATAGAAATATTTTAGTGTTTTAAATTAATCAATGTTTATACTCTCTAATATTGAAGGTTTTATATCATTTGATCGTAAATTTGAATTGGGTACACTTTGGAAAGGATTTTTATCTTTTATTTGTTGATGAGAGAGAGAGAGAGAGATTTCTTCTGAATTTACCAAAGAATAAATTTTCACTGTAGACCCAAACGGAATTTTAATTACCAAAATCGACCGATTTTTTTTAATTACCAAAATCGACCCGTTTTATGCCACGTAGGCTTAATCCAGTTTAGTCGGGGTTGCCTACCCCGACTGTTTAGGAGTTGTTAAACCCCGATTAGAAGCCTTAAAACCCGGTTTAACAACTTCTAAACAGTCGGGGTTGGCAACCCCGACTAATTAGGAAACTGGAATTACGCCTACGTGGCATAAAACATGTCGATTTTGGTAATTAAAAAAAAATCGGTCGATTTTGGTAATAAAAAATTGGTTTGGGTCTACAGTGAAAATTTGTTCTTTACCAAACTACTCTCAAACAAAACAAGGGAAAAGAGAGAGATTTCTTCTGAATTTACCAAACTACTCTCAAACAAAACAATGGTTTTCCCTCACAAAAACAACTATAGAGTGAGGGAACTATCCCCCATTCCTTCACATATAGATACCCTTCCTTTGTTTTTTCTATAAAGTAGTAGAGATTAGTGTTAGAATATATGTTAATATATTTTGTATTAGGCAATTATATTAGTAATCTTGTATATTTGTTAGGAGTATATTTAGTCCCCATAATTGTAGCCTAAGATTACGTAATTGTAGCCTAAGATTAGTCTTGTACTATGTGTATATAAGCCTAATCAAGTGAATGGAATAATCAAGGAATTAACTTCTTTCATGGTATCAGAGCCCTAGGGCACGATTCTCTCCTCTCCTTCCTCTTCCGCGGTGCCCTAGGTCATCTCCATCTCCATCTCAGAATTCTCATTCATGTCTTCCTCCATGGCTGACTC